GACTATACCAATGCCTCTGTCGGCACAGTCAATATCGCAGTCATCAAGAAGCCGGGCGAGACATCAGATGCTCAAGAAGTTCTCGTGAACCCTGGAGGACCTGGCGGATCATCAGTGGACATGATCCTTGGAGACTACGAAGCAATCCAGGAGAAAATCGGTACCAAGTATGCGCTTGTTGGGATTGATCCGCGTGGCATCAAGAACAGCGGACCGTCGAGCAACTGCTTTCCTGGCTATTCTCACGTTGCTCGCAACGCTTTCTTTGCGGATGTCTTTGGTCCAGCGGATATCTCGCACGACTACCAACTCAAGAAAAACCACCAATCGGTACTTGCTTACGGGAAGTGGTGTTCGCAGATCTATTCTGTTAACGGTACTGCGAGATATGCTAGCACAGTCGCAACAGCACAGGACATGCTTCACTACATCCAGCTGCGTGCAAAGGATAATGGCCGGAAGCCTGAAGATGCAAAGCTTTGGTTCTACGGCATCAGCTACGGCTCCATCCTCGGTCCCACGTTCGCAGCCCTATACCCCGACCGCGTTGAGCGCATGATCATCGACGGCATCCTCGAACTCGAAGATCACTATAATGGAGGCTGGGAGAAAGCCCTTGCTGATAGCGATGAAGCAGCGCGCTTCTGGTTCAAACGGTGCTTCGAAGCCGGACCGCAGATCTGCGCCTTCCACCAGAACGCAACCTCATGGCAGGAGCTCGAGAAGCGGTACTGGAATATGTTGCATGTTCTAAAGGACAACCCAATTGGACTTGGCGACCCGTTGTCCCCTACTTCCATCGAGTACGCCAAAGCTGGCACCATCGTCACGCCCAACGTTTTCACGTGGCGAGCAGTCGTCACCCAATTCTTCACCGCGTCGTATATCATTGCGCCTTTCTACTATGCAGCTCTCGATCAGACGCTGCTGGAACTACAGGTTGGCCAATATAACCAAACTCAAGCCATATCTCTCGAATCACAGATCTCATCGTTTCGCCCAACGGATGATGACCGCATGGCTAGAGCGCTGGTAACCTGTCTAGACTCTAACGGCCGCTCGAACTACACAAAGTTTGAAGACTACAAGAAATTCATCTACTCGATGACGAACACGAGCATATATGCAGGCCTTAACGTTGCGACGTTCAGTGGACCTGTCTGCAGTCAGCTCAATGTGCGGCCGCCGAAGAGTCAGTCCTTCGATGGTAAGTTAGCTTTTGCAAACGTTTTGAATAGCACTAACTTTCTGAAGGCATTCCGAAGCTGAATGGCAAGAAAGTCCCAATCTTATGGGTGAGCAGCATTGCAGATCCGGTTACACCTTTGCCGTCTGCGCGGAAGATGCAGTCGCAGTTCCCGGGATCGGAGTTGCTGGTATTCAATAACAGTGGTGTAAGTCTTGCCTTCGTCACTCTCAAGAGGATGATTCTAACTGGTCTTTTTAGCATTGTGCGCATTTCCAGAAAGCGGCATGTGTATCCAAGTACGAGAAGCAGTACATGTTTGATGGTACGCTTCCTCCCGCCAACACGACTTGCGAGGTTGACGAGCCAAACCCGTTCCTGGCTGTGGCAAAGCAGCTCGCGGATGCTGCACAAGGTTAGCCTTGGTTGAGACCGGTCTGAAGTAGAGGAGTAGAGGGCTTGTATTTTAGATTTTTGACGCGAAGCTTCTCAGTTGAAGGTGGTGGGGCGGGTTTGCAGTGGCTTGTTTGATTTGCATCACAACTTTGTGCGACGTAAACCACGGCTACCTACATCAGAGGGCCACAATGTCGCGTAGTTGACAAAGAAAAACATAGTATTTAAGTCAAACAGACCGCTGTTCTTCCCATCGATCGAGACATTCACACCTGAACCTCTACATCTACAGTGGAGTATCTTGAACGTGCAACCTAATTTTCCAACAATCACAACTACATGATGGTCGAAAACACCTCATCAACTTCATCACTAGCTTGTGTCCGATGCGATGAAGCCAGCGAGAAGTGGGAGATAGACTCCGTCGACGACAAATACGCTGGCATTATGCGTGACTACTGTCCAAATTGTCGCTTTTCCCACGTCTTCCATCTTTGGGATCAGGCCACTTCATGGGCTCATATCGTCGCGCTTAGCCACAGCTTCATCTGCGGCCACCTTTGAAGCACGCCTGGGGCCTTTCCACCTTTAGTCTCAGAATCGACTGAGCTCATATCAGGCCTGAAACGTCTGCATCAATATGGCATCATCACTACAAACTCTCAGCCGTACGAGCACTTGACGCAGGCGGGGTGTAACAACCTCTCCCAATTGTGGGAGTTTAAGTAGCGACCCTATCTAAATTTCACGATTCCTACAATGCACGCTGGTATCCTGAAGGACAAGATATCAATCTTGATAGCCAACTTGCTCGAACACGAACGCCTGGATGCTACGGTCTGGCCTGATCGGGATGAATGCCCCGAGGCCGAAGCCGAGATCGAAAACGTCCTAGACCTGTACCGCTTTCGATTATCGAACGCCGAGAAACGACCCTGCGTCACCTCACACCGAGTCGCAGGCACAAAAGAGGGCCTAGCGGACAAACCGTGGGAGTTCACGGGAACATACGATGTTACCATGTGCCGTAGCGACTGCTCTTCACAAATTTGCGATAAGATGAAGACCCTGAATTTCCTGGTGTGGGCGAAGGAGTGGGATGTGAACATTGACCTTCAAGCTCTGGTTGAGAAGGCGTATATTGAGGCTGGGCTCGAGCGCATCTACGAGGATGTTGAAGGTTGGACTTCAGTTCCGTCTGAGGATGCGGCGCACCCAAATACGTTGTTACTGGGTGCGGAGATGGTGGAATACGACGTGCAGGATGATTGTAATTGACACTTACAAGTGGGACAAGGGCAAATGTGTTGTGGAGTAATGCTGCAATGAACCGTGTTCGAGTTCTATGCCCTAGACAAGTCTAAGGCAGCGAGGCATGCGTTGCTCAAGAGGTCTCGAAGATAGACGGGACCATACCGCCCCTGAAGGGGGCCTTAAGCTCTCAATTAAACTTCTGATTAAACTATATTTAAAAATTGAAATTATGTTCATACTGTGATAATATCGTCTGTAATTAAGTTAACACTATACTAATCTGGAGACAGTTCCACCGCTCTGCTCAATACTTTCGCGACTTTACAGTAACATGCTGGTAGTACGGTCACGAAGCGACTGCTTCAATTAAAAGAGGCACAGCTGTTGGGGCGCATTTACTGCTACGTGCAATATTGCCAGACGTATTCTGTTTCAAGATAATCGAACTGGCTATAAATGAGGCGCCGAAACACCACTCAGCAAATGTCTCTATTCCGCCACTCTATCCTTCTAGTTATCCTTGATTTTATCTTCCATTTCCTCTCCTTCTATTCCTTTCTTTGCGTCGGGTGCTTTATGGCACAGGTTGCATTCTTCTTCCTTCTCAAGATAATGTTCCGTCCACGCTGGGTCATATAATTTTCCATTAGCTTGTGACCGGGACTTGTCGCAAAACTTGACTATGCAAATTCCATGACTGGAACCCTTGCGCAGCATACACTGGAAGGTGCGGACGACTACAAGGCACATGACGAGATGATGAAGATCCGATGTACGTTGTTCAGAGTTAGGTCAGCATGAAGAGTTTTTCCACGGTGAATGGAGGAGTGTGTAAGGGTGATGTGAAGCCTGAGGTGCGGAGGAACAACGCTCTTATATATGATCCCGCTATGACAGTCGTACAAGCATCGCATTGGCCACAGCAAGAGCAGAGCATGCCGTTCTCGTAGTACACACTGCAATTACTCCTCGCCCGGAGTTTCACCTTTGACTAGTTGGCTAACACAATCCTCAGAAAACATAGACCATCCGTCACGCTCTCAATCAGCGTTAGCTACCGGCGGCATCGTGAGTAAGTTCTCGAATGTGACCCAAATCACCGCCTGAGGTTTCGTGTTGGGAGGGAGTATTGGAGAACCTTGTAGATATTGCTTGAGACGCGGGAAACGCGGAAAGGTGTTGTTATGGAAGAAAATCTTGTACCCAAGCGTCTTATGTGACTCAATGCATTCATCACATTGGTGAGTCGTGCATCGCCACGCCCATCATGCGCCATCGTTGATCTGTCCATAATTCACACTCGACGTTCTTTCGCAGCACCTCAATGCTTTTTATACTGCACCAGTGTGTTTCTGGCATAAAGGTTTGTGCCTCGTTTTCCAGTCATGCTTCTGGCAGCGCTTAGAACAATAGAACGCAGCTTTACAAGCAGCGCATTGCTTCAACTCCTCAAGCGCAAACATCTTCGAGAGTCCGCCGTTCTCCATTCTAAACGGTACGCTCGTCCACGGACACTATGTCGCATTGATTTAGCTCCACATCTCGATGCAGAAAATCGTCCCAACTCACTGTATCACTCGTGCAGGAGATTTCCTTCCTATCTTTGCCCTCCAGACGCACTTTTCTCGCTTCATCGAATTGACCCTGAGCCTCTTTGATCGCCGCCAGCGTCTCTCTCGCCATGGACATCTCGTTGTAGTCGCAGACTGCTGCATATATTGCGAGGCCCTTTTCGACGGCGTCTTCTGCTTCTTGCAATCTGCCCGCCTGTTTGTAAATACTACCAAGCGCATTCCATGTGCCTCCAATAGGCGAGGATCCGGGTTTATACACGCGCAATTGATTTTCGCGCATCTGTATGCTGAGCGCGATGGCGTAGTCCCAACTCTCTGCTTTTAGGGCATCCTGTTGTTCCATGAGGAGGTCATGCGTCTTTTTGTCGGCAGCCGTGGCTTCTGCGTGGGTGATGCCCGCTTTGAAGTCTGGATGTAGGAGTTGCGCCATTGTGTGAGTGGGTGGTGTTGGGATGGGTTGGGGGTTGGGATCGTCCAGGTTGACGCGTGGAATTACCGGTACGTAGCTCCCTATCTAATCTTCCAGCGCGTATCTGACACGTTGTCACAACCATCGCATCAGTTGAACAAAGCGCAAACAAAATAAAACAAGATCTAAGAGGGGGTTGAATCTTCAACCTCTTAGTATCTACCTAATGAGGTCGAAGTCAAGCGCCTTGCCATTGGGCCATTAGACCGTGTGATCTTTTCGAAAAGAAGCTCACATTCACAGCAATGATACTTGCGACTGTACTAGGTTGGTATGGGAGCAGGGATACAATAGCAGTACTCGAGACTGCCGCATGGTCCATTGACTCGATTCAGGGCCCGTTGTCACGTTTCCCACGATATGGAAACTAACCTCGTATACATTCAGCTCCTACTCACCACCTGTCCATCTGTCTTCCTGTTACGAGCAGTCCCACGTCTTTGTCACCTATCCAGATATCCATTAATGGGCCCCAGTATGTACTCGTCCCTCATCTCCCAAAACGCATCCGCATACACCCAGAACACTATCGCCAGACACAGCACGCCCACTAGCACAGCCATCACAAACACCCCATACTGCAAAACATCCCACCACGCATTCTCGAGTCCCGCGCGCATCGTCCTATCCTCCTTCACCCGCGGGAACGGCTCATTCGGCACCTTGCGCTGAAGGAAGTCGCACAGCGGTTCCCAACTAGTCTCATCAGGGTTGACCTCCAGTAGCCGGTCCTTGGGCACGATACTGCGCACGGTGTTGTAGTGCTTCTCGAACGCAGCTTCGGACTTGGGACCACCATAAGTGTTCCCATTGTGTACGCGGAAAACGGAGTGCATGAGACGCATCAATGGCGCCATTTGTGTGAGATCGAAGTACCGAGCTAGAGCGAAGAGTCGCCATGTGCAGAAGCACCAGATGCTTTCTTGCATGCTGTGTTCCCATTCTGCGTAATCACGCGTCGTGAGAATGACTTTGGCATCTGGATACGCTTCTACTAATTCTTTTGCGAACACACAGCCGGGGAGGTCCATGACGACGTCGTAGTTAGCAAGGAGTTTGTCGAATTCGGGCTTCTTGTAGGGCTTCAAGCTTCTTTGTGAGGCCGGCCGGTCGGGAGGTGGAAGCAGTGTGACGTTGATAGCTTCTTGCCAAAGCGCGAGTTCTTTCGGATTGACGAGGACCTCGCGCATTTGGTGCGGTGTGTAACCTAGTTTGCGGAGAGCAGTAGAGATCGATGTTGTTCCCGTGCGGCACATGCCCAGCACAAGGATGCGCATAGGCTTTTGGCGGGTACGCTCGTCTTGATCGATGAGGCGGCCGGCCATGATGCTAACTTCTGGGAGTACCTGGTAGGAGATGGTTTGTCGGTGGGGAATTGTGCTTAAGAATCGCGATTGTAGAAAGGGTATAGTGTTGATGAATGAAGTTCGGAGTTTTAGAAGGCCAGGTTGTGAGATGTAGGCTGACGGAATCGGCTAAATCAGCGGCTGCACAGGGCCGGGAAAGCGAACCACGGGCTTGGATCCTACAATCCGCAAATCTGCAGATACCAGCGAGTGTTGACAGGGTACGTGAGAGGATCGAGCCTTGTGAAGCGTGAGTGAGTAGTATCTTTGGAAGTCGACCACGCGCGGAGAAAATTCTACACATATCGTTACATGGTGTTCCCATTCCAAGGCTTCCCCTCGTCAAGAAAGATACAGGGTGAAATCATCAAACTACATCTAAGAGGTCTGGAAGCCTGCCCGAACTCACAAAGGTTCGAGATAAGCTCTTATGACATTCTGCGTTTGAAATCAAAATGCTATCACTCTTCAAGCACCCCCATGGTGGGCAAGGTCGCTGTTACTGCTTCAAAGGGTTCCGGTCCACTAGAACAACATGGATCATTAGCTTCAAAGTGACCAACCAGCGTGGGTGCAGTAGGTTGCGAGTCCGGATCATGGTCCATCATTTGTGCAGTAAGTGCTGGGAGATCAGGGGTGGTTGACTCCTGGAAGCCAGTTTGTCGACCTAAGGAGTTTGGATGAACCCAATCTAAGGAGTCGTGATCTTGTCGGAGAGCGTCTAGATTTGCCTGATACGATATGTCTCCATTGGAGTTGGCCCTCCGGAGTTCAGTCAATACCCTTCTCTGCCTAGCAATGACGGCTATCATCTCCAGGAATACGCACCCTAAGCTGAAGATGTCGGCAGACAGTCCTCTCTTATTCTGGCGTACAACTTCTGGGGCGGCGTAAGTTTTCCTGAACAACGTTCGAGATTCAGTCTCAGCGTCGCTGAGATTGTTATATGACCTTGTAACCCCAAAATTCTGCAATGTGTACTTGGAATGGAGCACGTGGGAATCGATACTTGTCATGAATTAGGATATTCGTTGGTTTGATGTCCATGTGTTTGACAAAGCGACTGTGTATATAGTCGATAGCGCTTGCGAGGCACCCGAAGGACTCGCCAACGCCTCTTCGTATGGCATGCAGCAATCTGCCCTCGGTGATTGTCAGCTTGAATTTGGCGTCCAGTTCGGCGCAACGGTCGAGAAATGTTTCCAGATTGTAAGATGTGGCAGGGTATAGCAGAATAGAGAGCTCTTTTCCGTAGACGTAAGTCCCAACGCAGCGGACAACGTGCGCATGGCTAAGATACTGGAGGTGAGCAACCTCTTTGAGAGCCTCCTCTCGCTTCAGGCGCCAATTGCACTTGATCTTTTTGCGTGCAAGCATGATACGTTTACATTGCACCTTCTCGACAAGCGCTGTCGAAGAATATCCAAGCACACTATTGGGAGTGAGTAGCTTATCGATTGTTGAACCCTCTTCTGGACCGAACTCAACATGTTGACCGCGATCTGACCAATTTGTTTGATCGAACTCTGGTAGAATGAGGTATTTATCGTACAATATTTGTTGCCATGGCGTTTTCCTTGACAGAATTGATGCTGTAGATTCGCGGGATCCTGCCGTCTGCCTCGAATTTGCAGTATGGAAAGCTCGTATGCTCGTTCCATCTGAGACGAGCCAGTAGTGCTGCGAATTATACCAAGAGTCTCGCTCCTCGTGGCGTGTCACGGAGTTATAACTTTGGACTATATCGTCTCTTAGCGCATTGCTGGATGGATATAAACTGTGTGGATGTATGTCGAGAACTGCGGCCATTTCGACTCTCGTACTTTCGTCACTCAAATTCCACCAATGCTCAAAGCTTCGTTCTTGAGCAGTCCCTGAAGTTGAAGTAGATACATTTCCGTCGACAATGTAATCATCCCAGGTGTGAATTCTGATGTGTGTGCTTGTATGCGCTACTAGGTTCTTCGAGGTTGCGATCGATTGCAGAATCACTGACGAGATTGTCAGCAAGTGTCTGGGCGGATGATTTCTTACACGCTTAGGAAGCATCGTGCTATGATGTCTGTTGGATATGTCAAGACCGTCCTGCGCGCAAAAAACAAACAAAAGTAGCCTAACCTTATGATTTGGGCAGGGAAGTGTGTGATGTGAGACGATTCATATAATTCTGCTCTACATTGATCCCAAGGCCGAAGCATAATCCTAAAGTTGCTGGTCCGTTGCGCATCATGACTGCGACGAAGAGCGGAAGGCATTGCACTGACCTCACGACCGAGCTGTACAAGACGATTGCATCGAGCAGTGCATGAAAGCTTGCGAAAGTTGTGATTGTGAGGTGACGAGGCCAGCTCGATCGTGTCTGCCAAGGAATCTCAACCCGGCAGACATCATTGGAGAACGCTCAGCCTCATTCAGAGCTCGCTTACTGCCCCACCTGTAGCTCACTTTCCCAGTTTGCGATGAAGTTGCTGGTCAAGTTGTGCATCTCCATCGTGTACGGCGAATCTGGATCCTCTATGTACTTGAGCTCATAGCCTTTGTTGGCCCATATCGCGGCTACTTTCCAGTCCTTCACCCTAGCGTGACTGATAGCAGCGACTCTGTATGCCTTGGCGAAGTAGTCCGCGAGGCCTTCTTGGTGGACGAGCTCAGTAAGCTGCAGGCTGGCTTTTGCGTTCTTCCGGGCCTGTTGTCTCGCTTTCTTCGTCCTGGGAGGCTCCAGGGTCAGCTGTGGCTCGAAATCCGCGAAAGCCTTCTGGATGGTGGTGCGACGTTCATCGCTGACATCTTGGGCGGCACGTTCTTGGGCGCAGGCGTCGCATGAGCACTTGAACCCATATCTATCAAGTAGCTTCTGGCGCCCTTCCTGAGTGAGGAGCAGTGGGATGTACGACACGTAGACTTCCTCGCCCTTCTTGATTTTGCGAGTCGCATACACAATGCGCTTGTTGAGCTTGTCGCTCCAATAGTAGCTTGCATTTGGTCGACATGAATGGTTAATACGTGCAATCTTGGGAAAGAGGCCGATATCTTTGCCTGAGTTGTATGCGTTCGTCCGAAAGATAATTCCCAGCTTGTCCATGGTCGCCTCCTTGCTCGAGGTGATGTGGTAGGTCAATGACATGATCTCATCTTGCACGGCGGACGACAGTGTGTCAAACTCCTTGCGAACAAGTTTCGTAACAGCTGGCATGGGATAGCCAGATCCTTTGACGATTTCGGGTGGGCTGATCTTCAAAGGTGGTGTCTCTCGCATGACAATTTCCCCGACGTCCAAGTCATGAGCTGAGAACAATCCGAGGCCTTTCCCATTGCTAGCTTTGACAGTATATGTTGATGGAGGTCCGTGGCACGTGGTCAGCGCATCTTGCCATGATGGCCATTCGCATGTGTCTTTGCTAGCAGTCGCTAGAGACAGGAAAGGGAGTGCTGTGAGAATGATGCGCATGAGCATGATGAGAATGAAAAAGGTTTCGATAAGCTGAGGGTTTTCCCCTCACCATCGAGGGCGCGTTGGGTTTTCTAGTTGTTTACCGAGGACGAACTGGATGAAACGCGTTTCACGTCGATGCTGTCGCAGGATGGCATGCCTGGCAGACATAGCTCTCACGAGGAACATCAACGATGCCACGAGAAGCGGGTATGAGACATCATTGAAGGCGAATAGGCGAGGTCACGGGTTTCGATAGAGTGTAGGATGGGTGCCATCTGTGGATTGGTGGAGCATTGTGCTCAGCAGGCAAATCCGTTATCGCAATCACAATGCCGCGGGTGCGGAACGGTCCCGTCATCGTTTCGGAAGCTGCCACAACTTAGATACCAACAGGAAGCCTGTATAACCTCGCAACGCTTTCAAGACAAT